CCGAGAGCTGTTGCTCTGTGCTTTGTGCTGAGTCACTGTTCTGTCTCCATAGGCCAGATGCAGCAGGTCTGGGTGGCACAACAGGGAACAAGATGAAAGTGACCTGCCAGGGTTTGGATGAGGTTTGTCTGCACCAAAACTCTCATTGAGTTTTGGTCCTCAGTGAAATGGTGTTGAGAGAAGGGGTGAGGCGGCATTTGGGACCTGGAGACAGCGCCCTCTGGAATGGTTTCATGTTTTTCTTGAAGCTGTCATGAGAATTCCACACCTTTTCTCCCTCCATGTAAATGTGGTGAGGGAAATAAAACTGGGGAGTAGGGAGCTGGGGATTTAGCTCGGTGGAGGTGTGCCTGCCTTGCAAGCACAAGGCCTGGAGTTCCATCCTGGTGCCAGAAAAAAAAAAAAAGTAGTAGGAAAGAGGTTGCCAGGGAGTGTGCAGGTCCAGAGAGGCCTCCCTAAAACATGGGAGGGAGGGTGGGCCTGGCAGAGAGGAAAAGCATGACTCAGAGGTCTGACAGGACTAGGACTGACTTGTGCCTGCTCTTTTGGAGCAGCAGAGTGCCCACAATTTGCACTTACAGACTTTTCTTCCTGATCTATTCATGCTTCCGGCTGCCACTAACAGTCTCTGTGCACAAATGGCTTCTCCGTCCATCCAGCCTGAGCTGTCCCTCCTTCCCAGTGCCCTCACTGAGGCCTTTCTTTTCCTCACATCACATGCATTTTATCCTCACCTGTGTTTGGGGTTACTAACACTGCTAGAAAAGCACGAGTCAGATCTTTTGGAGATCCCAGTTTGAATTATGAGCTGGTTGGCACAGAAGTTCCTGGGCTTCTTACTTCTTCTGCTGGGAAGCAGCATCTTTATCTCTTTCTGTAATCTTACATGGAAGAGAAGCAGAATCTGACTGCAGACTGACTGTATTCTGTTTCCAGCCCTTGAGACTCTAGGGTGCTCCCTTGGTCTGTACAGTGTGCCCCAGCTGACTGGCCATGCCTCTGCTGTCCTCACGTTGCCTAGAAGTGCACATGAAGCGCGCGTTTTCCATCTTCAGCATGCCAGACTTTCCGTGTCTGCCCAGCACCTCCCCATCCCGGCTCTGCTCCATGATCACCCCAGGGCCCCATGCTGGGGGTCTCTGCTCACCCAGACCCCCAGCCAGGCAGAGAGGGGTGGCGTTGCCCCTCTGGCCAGGCTTGCAGCAGCAGCATCACCTTACGTCTTTCCTTTCCGTGCTGCTTCTCCCACTGTGCACCTCCGTTCACTGGAGAAACTGTGACTTGAGTCCCCACCCAGTGGAGAAGCAGCCACGTTCAGAAAGCCCACGGCCAACTCCCCTTCCCGTGGGTTCCCCTCTGCATATTGAAAGTGCTGGGGGGAAATTCCACCGGCTTCCAAACACAGGGACTTGTGCTGCCCAGCTGGTGAACCATGCGACGCCCTCACAGATGGTGCCCAATGGGCCCTGCCACCCACAGCACCTCCAAGGGCCTCCTTCATTGGCATCTCGTTCCTCTACTGTGTGGCAGGCCTGCACAGTTGTGTAAATACTGAACATTTACAGACTTCTCTTACCGTTATTCCTGAAACAATGCAGTATGCAGTTATTTATACAGTGGCACATTCTGTTAGATATTACAAGTAATCAAAAGATGACTTAAAGCACACGGCAGGGCGTGCATAGGTTACAAGAAGTTGGATGCCACTTTATGGACCTCTGTGGGTGATGTCATCTTTCGGGCGTCCCAGAGCCAGTCGCTCAGAACAGATAAGGGACAGCTATGCCAAAAGGGCCACACAGGCGGCAGATGGGGCTCTGAGCCCGAGCCAGACCACAAATGTGTCCTGTTTATCTAACACAGTATTTATTTCCATTTCCCATGTAACCTGGAAGCTGGCACGGGGGCTCCACCCTGAGTCTGTGCGTGGCAGTGGTAGCTCCTGTCCCATGGTCACCACCCCAGGAGGGGTGAGATCAGAGCTGGCACTGGGGTCAGCAGAGTCCGAGCCATCAGCATGCTCTCCTGGAGAGGCCAGGCGGACAGAATTCAGGGTGTGCTTCATGCCAAAAGCTGCCTGCGGCCCTGGCAGGATTTAGGCCAGAGAGACCCATAGCCAGCTTTCCTGTGAAGATCGTTTAAGGAGTCCGTGGGAGTCACAAGTCCAGAAGGAAGCAGATCCCTGGGCAGCTGTGGGAGGGCAGCAGGCTGAGTGGAGGTGCAGCACTGATGCTGGAGGAGAGCCAGCTGGGAGCTGAGGAGGGGGAGAGGGCTGCAGAGCACTTCCCAGCCACACCCAGTCTGCTCTGAGCAAAGGTAGGAGAGGTTCCCAGACCTAGGAACAGGCTTCGGAGAAAAGAACAAATGGCTGCTATAGAGTTATGATTTCTGACTGTACCCAAGGAACGAGGGACCCGAGAGGATGAGGACTCTGTTCAGGCAGAGAATTCAGAAGGAAATAGTGGGAGGCGAGACCGTAAGGAGCCTGAGAAAGTCCGTGTTGCCTGACTTGGCTGGAGATCAAAGCGGGGACTGGGTCCCCCGTGTGGTGGTCTGGCTTTCCTGTCCCCCAAGCCCATGCGCCAGAGCTTGGTCACCCGCTGCCACACTGCTGGGAGGTGATGGAGCCCAACAGGAGGAGGTTACGTCTCCGGCAAGCCCTGGACAGCAGTGGGGAGCTTGGCCCCTTCCTCTGTCTGCACACCTGGCTCCTGAGGGCAGCAGACCTCTCAGGTGCGCGCACACACACACACACACACACACACACACACTAGGACCATGAGGCTGCCATGGAACAGCAGGACAAGTGATGAGGTCGGAGACCTCCAAGTCCTGTGCCGGCTGGGTCTGCCCTAATGTTACAGGTATTCATTCAGTCACAGCTGAGGGACAGTGACTAACACACATGGTGAGTATTTAGCTGAAATATCGGCCTTCGTTTTATAAAATAAGGAGTTTCTGCTGAACATTTTGACCTGGAAAGTGACTCCAGAAGAGTAGGACTTTATTTCCGTTAACATGATGGCTTCATGCATCCATTTTCTTACCATGACTCAAATGTATCACTAAATGAGCATACTGCTACACAAGCATGGGTCTGCATGGCTCCTCATACCTGAGATACCCAAAGTGTAAACAAAGACCAAAATGTTAGACTGATAGTAGGACGCAGGGAGAGAGATCTTTTGCAAAGGGGAAAGTGACCATGAGACGAAGGAGTGGAAAGGAATTAAAAGGTATTGTGCAACACCAGCTCCCACGATGCATGTAGTCAGACTGAAAACATGGACTAAAACAGTTTTTTAAACTGGATGACATGTACAGAAGCCTTTTAAAAGCATGTGATTTTAGAAGGTTAATTGTCTGTGACAGTCAGTTCAGTGGCTGTTGCTGTCGCCCACATCTGAGCTGGGCTCAGGCCAGTCCTGTCTTGGGGAAAGGCAGTGAGGTTTCCTCTACACTGGGCTGGGGGAGGAGCAGGCACAGGAGGGAGGGGACATGTGGCTGGGGGCGACTGGCTGGGAAGATGGGGGCTGCTGTGGAGTCCCATGCCGAGGACAGGGACGGGCAAGTTCCCCAGGGGGACTTGGTGATCAGGAAGCCACAGCCCCAGGTGTTCAGCGCACAGTGACCTAGCTCACCTTTGCTTCACTCTGACTGCTGGACCAGTTGCCAGGGCCAGGCCACACAGAGGGCAGACACAGGAGAGGCTGGGTGTGGTGCAGGCTTGGGCAGCCCCATGGCCAGCTCAGCAGGATGTTTGTCTAAGCTGATGTGGGGCCCAGAACAAGGCCTGGCAGCCAAGAGGACTCCAAGGAGGCTGGCTGCAGTCAGTCTGAGGGAGCTGCGAGCTGAGTTTGTCCTTTAGTACCTGGTGCCACATCCTAACATGGATGGGAGCCTCAGGCTGCAGGGCCAGGTGTACAGCGCAGGCCTTGGGAGCCCCAGGACTTTGTGAGAATTTGTACTGTGCCTGTTCTCAGAGCAGGGGGCGGGGGTCCTGTCTCCTCTGTCGTCCTCCCAGGAGGACCCCCGAAGGCTGTATGAGGTTTCCCACAGGCCCCACCCAGGGTCTGGGCTCCCTGGCAGGGGGCGCTGCTGTTTTCTCCACAGGTTGTAGTGCATGTTCTTGGTGGCAGAAGTAACCTGGCCATTCCAAGTACCTTCAGCCTGGGAGGATGGCACTGGGGTCATCCCAGACCCCACCGGCATGGGGTCAGCCCAGAGATCAAACTGCCCCACCTGCAGGGTGATACCAAAGTGGCTCCTCCTCCTCAGGGGCCCCGGTGCCCCTGTACCTGCCCTCTGGGCTGTCCTGCGTCCCCCAGGCTGACCCTGCATCTCTGACCGTTGCCACCATAGCCCGGTAGCTCAGCCCACGGTAGTGGCAGGAAGATGCCTGGAGCAGTGGGCGCAGGAGGAGCCACACCACGCATGCTTTGGCTTCCGCAGGAGGGGCTGCATCCGGGCCGAGCCAGGACGGATGGTGCAGACACCAGTGCAGCCAGGGCATCAGCATCCGCACAGCCTACCCGTGCCCTCAAAGTGCAGGGGCGCCATGGTGGACTTGGTTTTAGATTCCCTGCGAGGACTGGGAGGCGGTTACAGCGGTGCATTCGTGGGGCCTGGCGTGTGGCTCGCCATCCACACACCACTCGGTGGCTTTCTATTAAATGGTCAGCTGTGTGGAGAGGCTATGTCTGGGCAGTGCCCCTCAGCCAGCCCTGCCCACCTCACTGTCCTGAGCCTCGGGCTTGGACCATGGAGTGAGTGAGCAGCTCGGGCCAGGGTGCAGGGCAGGTGAGGCTGGGGGAAGTAGAGCAGGGCCCCCGTGCCCGGAGAGCCACGCAGTGGATGCCGGGGTACCCGGCCCTCTCTGTGAGCTGACTGGGACCCCAGCCCTTTGAACCGAGCCCTAGTGGCAAGTACACTGCAGGGGCGCTGGTCCCTGTGCCTCTGTGCTCTGGGGAGGGCCCTCCCCCCTCCCTCATGCAAAGCTGTCTGCTTGTGTCTGCCACGCTCATGCCTGTGTCTCTTTCCTAGATCCTGCCTGGCCTGTACATCGGCAACTTTAAAGGTGAGTTTTCTTTTCTCTAATCATGGTGGAGAAGTCCCACTAACATGCGATGTGCCATCCTAGCCATCCTTGGGTGCAGAGCTCACTAGCATTCGGACACTCAGGGGTGTAAACACTGCCACACCTGCCAGAGCTTCGGCCTCTTCCCAAGTTGAAACTTGTGCTCTCCTCTCCATCCCCATGACTGTGACTCACGCAGCTTGGTCCTTTCCTGGTGGACTGACTTGCTAAGCCCAGTGTCCTAGTCCGTCCTGCTGTTGCAGATCTCAGGAATATTCCACTGTGTGGACGGAGCACGTCTGGTTTTCCATCCACCAGTTGAGGAACACTTGGGTTGTTCCTGCCACAGCCACAGTTCCCTGTGGGAAGGAGCTGGTCTAGACGTGTCACACGGGAGGACAGGCTGCTGCCCTGGAAGGAGCCACCTTTTGTAGCTCCGCCCAACCTGCCAGACAGTGCCTGAGTGGGATGAGATGTGCAGGCGCTGGCGTGACCTTGAGTCCTCCTTGTCATTCCTCACTCCTGCTGGCATGCTTTTATCACAGGAGAGTGGGCAGCAGGCACGTTAACCAGCCTGCAGCTTATTCGGCCATCTGTCCCTCATATTTTCTTATTATCAATATTAAACTTTCAGAAACCAGCTTTTAAAATCACCGCATGCCTCCCTGCTGTTACGAGGCGTGGCTAGCGTGCTTCCCACTCATCATCCACAGACGAGCACGTGGGGTGGCAGGCTCGGTGTGGTCCCTGAGCCGGGGATGTTCTGAGTCCACGCACGGACGCTGGTTCTCTGTGTGGAGAGGAGGGCGTCCGACAGGAAGAGCAGTTATGGGGCATGCGCAGCAGGTCCCACCAGTCCCATCCGGAAGAACCACGCCCATCATGTGCCTAATCCCCCTCCTTCCCCCAGAGCCAGACGGAGCAGAGTCCAGGCCACTCCTGTATTCTGGCTGCTGGTTACATTTGTGAGTTTACACACTGGCCCAGCCTGGGCTATTTCTTTGCTTACCCCAATCCTAGCGCTGCTGATTGGCCTCAGGGATAGTTGAACAAGGCACCTGAGGCTGCTAATTGCTACTAGAATGTGTTAAAAATAGTTCTCAAGTTCCTAAATCAGTAAGCTTTCTAGTTCTGAAAAAGAAGTAAGTGCTGTGTCATAGGTAGGCTGAGTGCTGCTAGGATAGAGTTAATAGCTAAGTATTTTTAGAGTTGTTAGTGAGCTGTTATTAACTACTTTCATGAGGTGTGAGGACAGACTTTAGGATAAATTCTTAGAATTACTAGGGATGTTTACAAATTACATTTTAAGTAAATATCAGCCAAAGTCAGTACTTCTGCCAGCAGTGTATGAGTTTTACCCTGACCCATAGAAAGCTACCTTCTTTTAGAAGGACATGTGTACTCGGCGTTAAGAAAATATAATGAGCGCTCATTATGACCCACCTTGACATATGAACAACTTGAGTTACGACCAGAATTTTAGTTTTAACTTATGCACCGAGTCTTGAGTTACGACCTGGATGCCAGCAGCTTGTGCTCCCAGATGGTCTGAGATACAGATTTAAGCCTGAAGGAGTTCTGGAAGGAGCATGACAGCATCCTCTCCTGTGTGAGGTTGAGGAATCCCGGGCCAGTGTCTCTCTCAGGACACAGATCTGCCTGTACACAGGAGAGACTTTGAAGGCTGTGCAGAGGGGCCTGAGCCTTCATTGACCAACTTGAGCTACAACCAGCCCTCGGGAATGAATTGAGTCAAGGGTCCATCGTATTTAAAACTTTTCTTCTTCTAAATTTTGTAACTTTGAAAGTTTCTTTGAAACTTCTCTTTTTTACACGTGTCTTCTAATACTCCTGGCTCCCAGTATTGCTCTGTGGCTTCACAGAGCTGTCCGGAGCAGCCCACCCCCGTCCCTGTTCAGACTGTGGTGCTTTATCCTTGTCATACATTTTCCCCATATTACTGTGACGTCACATGCATTCATTCGCCTGCTAATTCACCATTTATTAAGCACCTGGTGAGAGGCTCACCTGAAACAAAGGTGGCAGCGCTGTGTATGGTGCAGCGGAGCAAGGCAGGTCCTGCGAGGCGGTGTGGTGGGTGTCCTGTCTGAGACTCCGGAGTCTGGGCAAGGTGGAGTAGTCAGGGCTGCAGGGTACAGGTGCCGTCAGCTGGCCTCCCTAGAGCCCAAGACACACTCTGCCCCGAGCCAGGCATGTGCTTGCATACGAGCTGGCCATGCAGGTGGGCACAGGGCCACCCAACAGACAGTGGACATTTTCACTGTGGCTCAGTACCTGGGGCCTATGAAGCCAGAGCCACCCCGCCCCTCCAAAGGAAATGGGGCTCATGCTGGGCTTTTGGCATCCTGCAGAGCAGGCCTCTTCCCCCTGGCCCTTGGATCCAGCACTCACCTGTGCATTAGCAGGTGTCCTGCTCCATCCCTGCTAACAAAGTGAGCACTTTGTGTCACAACACGCAATCTGGCCAGGCCTAACGCTATTTTTCCTGGCCCAACACCACCCACTTCCCCTCTCCTTCCTTTCCTTTGCTTTCCCCTCTTCCTTCCTGCTTTCCCTTCTTTCTTCTTCCGCCCTTCCTTTCTGTCCTCTTTCCTTCTAATGGGATTCCATACATGGCACTCTGCAACTTCCTTTTGTTGAATGAATCACAAGTGGTTTCCCAACACCTGGAGCTTTTTCCACCGCAAACAAACCCAGCTTCTGATGCTCTGCTGAGTGCCTCTGGGCTGCAGTGCCCTGTATCTAGCAGCCAGCAACACCCAGTTGCAGGAGGGAAGGCAGGAGCGGGAACAAGCATGAGCTGCCCCTTCCAGGCCAGAGCACAGAGTACATTGTTTCTTCATGGCTTAGCACGGGCAAATGTTAGTGTGTCACAGACAGACAGGGCCCCTCACTGTTCAAAACCTTCACACAGTCCTGGAAGTGTGGGAACAAGCTTGGGCCCTTCATGCACATGGTGAGGTTGCGGAGCTAATGTGCTGTGTCTGCCAGTGAGACAGACACGCTGACTGCTGCAGGAGTGGACAGCTGCTCTTGAGGCTGCTATCCGCTGGACCTGTGTGAGCTGGGTGATATCCATTGGGTGTCGGGGGGAGGAAAGCCGGTTCGAGTGTCTTCCCAGGAAGTGTAGATTTGAAAACATTCAGCAGTGACACAAGTGGAGCCCATTCTACAGCCTTGAGACTTGATCTGATTTCAATAATAATGATGATCATGTGTTTGTCCATTTTCTGTTGCTATCACAAAATGCCTGGGGCTGGGTATAAAGAAAGAAGCTCATTTAGCTCTCGGTTCTGGGGGACCCATTTCATGACACTGCGATCCTGGCTGGGCCCCAGTGGAGAAAGAAAGCTGAATACGGAGGAGCTGAGCAAGCAAGCGAGGGCTGCTGCCTGACGTCCTGCTCTCCAGAGGACAGTGTCACTCGCCACAGCCAAATGCATCCTGTCAGGGCAGGACGCAGTCCCCGACAAGTTTCCCAGACCTGTACCCTTGGGCGACAGACCACTCTGATCTGCAGCCACAGGGACAGAGAGGACAGCAGCACACACCACATGCCAGCAGCACCATGCTGGCTCTCCTACTCCTATTCCTATTCCACTCCTTATAGTTTATCAAAAGCCATCTGCACTGTACAAGGTATCATAAGTGCTGACCCCTTCCGGCATCTGAGTTACTTCCTGTGGGTTCAGACTCTAAGTGGACACATTGACCTGGGCTGGGCTGCAGCGGGCAACTGACCCTTCATGCTGGACCCCAGCTTTGATGCAAAGCTCAGCAGATGTTCACTTTCCCTGCCTGTAAAATGTGTGTGGGGATGCACACTGATGATGGCAGTGGGGCTCACAGCTGCGTTCACAGCAGTGCCCATGCTTGCCCCAGAGCCAGCAGCAGTGTGATGGCCGTGGGCGTGTGAGGCTGGGCGCCGGTGTCCCTAGTGAGCAGCCTGTGTGCCCAGGCCAGAGCAGGGTAACCCAGCCCACATCTGTGCAGATGTTGCTGTGCAGCGGGGAAAGTGGGCGTGCGGCACTGTCCATAGCTCGCTTCCCTTTTTTTTCCCGAGTCCAGCACCTCTTGGTTCACACCACAACCATGCTATAAAAACCTTCATCTGTCATGAAATTACGTCTGGGGGATGCAAGTGAGCTGCAGTTAGACAGTGGTGCTGGCTGTGCAAGTCTGTAAGTGCACTGAACTCATCCGATGGTGCCCTGGAGGAAGGTGAATTGGACCACGTGCGTGTGGATTCTGTCTCAGGAAAGGGCTTTTAGACCAAGAGAAGTGTCACCCCCAGTTGGCATCCACGAGATTGGGTCCAGGGTGCCAAAACCTGGCACACTCAAGTCCTTTGCAAACATCCACAGTGTGGACTTTATTCAACCGTCCTCTGCACTTTAAATCATCCAGAGATTATTGGCAGAACCTAAGGCAGTGTAGACCTAAGGTTGTGCCTGTAGTTGGTGTACTGTGTTGTTTGGGGAATGATGACAAGAAAAAGGTTTGTGCAGATCCTGTACACACACATTATTTTTCAATTTTTTTTTTATCTAAGATTGGTTGAAATCTTCATATGCATAACCCATGGACATGGAGACTCTATATTTAAACAAATATTGATTGTTAAAACTTCTTATGTGCGAAGCCCAGAGTATATTCAAGGGCCCAAAGTAATTAAAGAGCAAAATAAAAGGTAGATAAGAGAAGAGACAGTGAGATAGGTCTTTCTCAAATGGGAAGAGAACCAAGAGATGGAGGGAGGAAAGAAAGGTGCACAAAGGAATGAAGACGTGTGCCTGTAATAACTCCCTACAATGAATGTAATCATAATGTACCGCGGCATGTGCTAATATAAATAAAAATTAAAGAATCAGGTGAAAGGAATTGTCAGTGCTGCTCCTCCAGCCCTCTCCGCCTCCCCTTGTCGTCTCTCCTCTGAGTCCGAAGCTTCCCTGGCGGCAGCTGGGAAAAAAGCGCCCTGTGTGTGGAGTGGGGCTGCCCGTGGCTTCTGAGTGCTTCCAGTTCCTGCCTGTGCTGCCAGCTTTCCCTCACTGTGAAGAGTCCTGAGACCCGTACCCTAAAGCCAGGGAGGGTTCGCGCTGGCTCTGTGGAACATTGCTGCCTGCTGCTAGGCCTGTCTGTGGGCCTGTGGCGAGGCGGAATGTCCCGGTGGGTGCGTATGGCGGAAGTTGCTGCTCACCTGCAGCAGCCAGGAAGCGGAGGAGACCGGACCAGGGTCCCTCCTGCCTGTCAAGGTCCAACCCAGTGGCCCAGAGCCTCCCACTGCATCCTCAAGGCTGGTTAGAAATGTAAATTCCTTAGTTCCAGGGCAGACTTAGAACTAAGTGGAATCTCGGGAATTGACCTTTTAACACGCCCCTCCCGAGCTTGATGCCTTTGAATTTAGAACCGTACAACAGGGGAACAACAAAACCACTGTACCTCCTCCTCGCCAGTCCCCCACCGTATGTGTGTTTGCCCTTCCTGTTTTTACACAGTGAGTTTATACTGTATTTATCAGTTGGTCCTTGCTTTTATCCCTCGCTTAGCATGATACCCTCAGGACTCTCCCATGTCAGTTAGTATTCTCTGGGGGTGCCACAGTGAGGGACTTCACTCTGGATCTTGCCCACCCTGTGTCATTTTGAAGAGTGTGGTCCAGCCAGGACCATGGGAGAGCTGACTTCCTTCCCCCTCTCTGCGGGCCCCCGGTTTGTAGACCAGCAGAGTCCCCACTCGCGATCACACTGTTCTGTCTTCGCCTGCAGGAGGAGCAGTGGCGGAGAATATATTGTGGTGTCTCTTTAATTGACTGGTGATCTGCTTGTGATTTCTGGAAAAGGTTCCACTTTTCTTCTTGCTCTGGTTAAGCGTAGGCATTATAAACCACAGACCTATCTCAACCTGTCCTTGTCTGTGTCCCTGTTTTTGATATCATGGTAAAGAAGTACCTGGCAGGCTCTTCCATTGCTGACACTAGGCAGGTCTTTTGTTTTTATTTTTCAACTTAGATTACTAAGCATTGAGATAACTTTTTTTAAAAATTGAAATAGCACTGTTATGTGCCTTGTGTGAAAAAGACTAGCCTAAGACTCTGTAGCTGACATGTGCCAACTATAAAATGGCCTCACAGGTGACTACCATGTTTATTAATCTAAGTTCAGTTCAGATTTAGAATAACCGTTCAGATCAAAAGATGTACCAGTCTAAAATGCATTTAGTCAAAATACAGAGAAGCAGTAGCATTGAATTCCTCAAATCTAGATTGCTCTGGGTACGGTCAATCATGGAGTTTCAAGAGAGAATTCTGCAAATCATGTTGTATTGTTTCCTGCGGAGACTTTGAGAAAAATTACCTCACAGAGAATATTAAAATGTCCATCCCTGTCTTCGATGACAGATGCCAGAGATGTGGAACAATTGAGCAAGAACAAGGTGACACACATTCTGTCTGTCCATGATAGTGCCAGGCCCATGTTGGAGGTAAGAGAGAGCCATGGGTGTGTGTGTTCTTTGTCTTCTGTAGGAATGCATGTGAGCTTCATGAGGGCTTCCCTCACTGCTGTTCCCTTGACAGCATTGTGCCCTGGGATTGCTGGAGGTGTTCACTTTGAGCTCAGGCCACGTTCGTGTTTGTGACATGCCGAGGCCGGTGGAAGGGTGTCATCTCTCTGGCTCTACTCTGCTATCTTGCTTATTCCAGCTTCCTTGGCCAACTGCCAAAGAACGAGCTGGTGTCTCATTTCCTGCTGGATTTGAAGGACACTGGAAACCTATTTTAAGGGCTGAGGGTGTAGCTCCGGAGTTCAGCACTTGCTTATCCTGTGCAAGGCGCTGGGTTCAATCTCCAGCAATGAAGAAAAGCTATTCTCATTCTTTCAGAATTATTTTTGGATTTAGAGTCCAAAAGAATTTCAGCTGCTCCTTTCCTGACTTTCTTCACCGTGTAAGCTCATAGATCTGCCCTTTTCACCCAGAAGTCAAAGACAAGGGCAGGTGAACTGTTTCTGAGGAGCCTCCAGGGCAGCTCTGGGACAGGGGCCATCAGTGTAGAAGCTGCTGTTGTGTTTTCTTTAGGTTTTCAGGGTAAACAGGGTGTGTCTGCTTGTACACTAATTCCAAAAACATCTTCAATTTTACCCTGATGGACGGTTGAGCCGTTGGCCAGGAGTAAAATCTATTTCTGTCCACTTGCCTTGACACAACCCAGGTTACCTCTTTTTAGAAAACAAAGCATGTGTGGTTGTGATGTGTGTGTTTTTCTATTTTAGGGTGGGGTGTTGGAAAGGGAGGGGTGCCTTGTTCTGAAAGCAATAATCCTGGCTCAAGCTGTTTGCATTTAAATTTATATTAGGCCAGAGTAGAAATATTTTTTATTTTAACTTTACCTATTTTCTTTAACCACTAGAGCTGCCCTACTTCAATTAGTATAAAACAAGCAAAAACAAATGAGAATGTAGAATAATAAATAATGTCATTATTGTACAAGAAGTATGGGGAGCTCACACTTCCTCCTGTTGTCTCAGCTCATAGTTTTTTGCTAAGGTCCTAGAATTTATGTTGTAGCATGATTTTAGAGGAAACAATGGGACATTCCTGTTTTTTTTTAAAAAAAGCCCAACTGTTCCTCTGAAAAAAGTCACTCCATTTAAAAAATCTATTAATGATAGCTAGTATTTAAGATATAACCAAGCTTTAGCCAAGTTAAACGGCAAAACTGGTCGTGACTGACTTCCTTTATTTTAATAAATTACATAGAAGGCCCTTCTGCCCTGCCCACCAGGTCTGCCTTGATACTTTATGTGTCATCTCGTGGGCCACACTGCCAGATGGAATTGGGCCAAAGTGTCTTCTAAGACACCCTGACTTGTCTGGATACAGAGCATGGAGTGTTAGAAATGAGGACAGTACTGGCCCTCTCTGTCCCTCCTACATGGATAACCCACGCTAGTGACTGGGCACAGAGACCAGTGTTCACTTCAAACCTCAGAGCTGGGGACAAACTCTACTCCCCCACATGTATTTTTTGTTGTTATCATTCCCTACATAAGGCTAAATGTGGCTGGGGATTTAGCTCAGTGGTTCTGCTGCCTGCCTTGCAAGCGCAAGGACCTGAGTTCGATCCCCAGTACCATAAGGCTTAATGCTGCCTTGAAAGGAGAGGATTGTGAAAAGGGAGAGAGAAAGAGTAAAGAAGGGGGAGGCAGAAAGTGCGGAAGAGAGAACAAAGAAAGGGAAGAGGAAGGGACAAAGGACGGGGCAGGAAAGGACAGGACAGGGAAGGAGACTCTGCCCCTCTTTGGTGACCCTTGTTTAGAGACATCTGGCTCTAGTTTTGCGTGGCATTATCCCTCTGCTGGGTAATACGCACTTCCATGAGTTTCATGTTCAAGAGTTGGACTACAATTTTATAGCATAACATAGTATAATGTGGAACCTCTTATTCCTTTTTAACTTCACAAGTAATTTATAGATAGTCATAAATTTTTCTAAACAATAGCTTCTTTGACTACATGTATGGGAAAAAGCAGAGGCACCAGAAGGTACAGTATTTGAATTGATGAATCCTCGGTAATTAAATAACTGGAGTCCTAGAAGTGTCAGGGCTTTGGGTAGCAGCTTTTTATCTGAAATTTCAAATTCAGTTCCAGAAACCATGACCTCAGGCAGCTCAAGATGAGTCTGGGAAATTCTCTGTTTGGAGCCAGTAGGGAATACTACGTGAATTTGACTATTCAGTGGCTCCGTGCCACGTAGGGGGCAGTAGGGCAGGGGTGGAGGTGAGAGGCGAGGTTGTATGCAGGGTTAGTGGGGTGAGCTGATGCCCTGGCTGGTGAGGGGCTCCCAGTGAGGGTGGAGGAATGAGGGGTAGGAGAGGAAGGAGTAGGACCCCTTCATTTCTTGAGCTCTTAACCAGGCATGTTTACTGAGTGGCCCCTGACTGCTCTGGGCAACTCTGGTTTGGACAGGTGGACACTGACCATTGAAGGGTTTTAGTCCTGCTCCAGTTCTGGGATCCCTGCTGCCTGAAAGCCAGTCCTGGGCAACACACTGTGGATTCTTCCTTGGGTCACTGTGGTCTTAATGTGCTGAGGTGCTTAGCATCAGTCACCAGGGCTTTCAGGATCTTTGAGTCTCCTTTTATTGTGAAGGAGGCTAAATGAGTGTAGTCATGTTGAATGTGGTTTCTAGAATTGAGGGCAGAGATTGGGGTTTTGAGAATCCTCAGAGGATAGGCTGTTGAGCAGTGGGCATGGGATATGATGCTTTGAGAAAAAATAAATTTAGGGAACTGAGCATACCAGAGGCTCCTCTGGAAATCTTCGTCATGTTGAGGGAGTAAAGGTCCGAAAGCTCAGCGGTGCAGACACATAACCTTGTCTCTGAGCAAGGACCAGCTTGTGTGTGCAGCACAGCACCTGCTGGCACCCTGGCGAGGGTGTCCAGGGCAGAGCTCACAGCTCTGTCAGGCTGAGGCTGCCCGCTTCCTAAGCACCACCTTCCCATATTCCTTTACTTGTTTCACTGAGAGAACCTGCCGTGGATAGACTCGAAGGCAGTACCACTCTTGAACCTATTGTTCATCCTCTCTGGATGTCACAATGTGTAGTCTGTCACAAATCCTAACCAAAGACAGTGCCACAAAGCAAACCACCAGGAAAGGCCTGTCGAAGATGACTTTAGTTATTAGGCATCTATTAGATTTGCCTAGGAAGGAAATACGGGACTTGTGATTTGTTTGAGTTTAGTTAAATCAGATAGAACTCCCCATTATTTGGGTAATTTGTGATGGGGTGGGGGTTCCCAAAGTAGCATTCACCACATCATGTGCTCTTCCTGGGAGCCTGACTGAGGGAAGAGAGTGGAAGTCACTGTCCTCAGCCCCTCAGAGTGGCCGGGCCCTGCTCATGAGGTGAGCTGGGGTCTCTGATGCTTCTCCAGTGGTGTGACAAGATTCGCATCCTCTGGACCAGTGGATAGGGCAGTCGGCCCACAGAGAAGCCATGAGACTCAATTAACTTTTCAGGAGAGCATTGAGGGCTAGATCTTCTGGAATGAAGACTCTGAAACATGGCAAATTCACAGGGACACAAATTTACAGGATCAACCCTAACTCACATCTGATTCTAAAGAGCTCTGACTCCATTTCTATGTCTGCTGACATTTTGTTTTTCAGTGCTGAGAATCAAACCTAGGGCTTCACATATGCTAGGCAATGCAGACTGGTGCCTGTTGTCTGATCTAGAAAGCCCATCAGAATAGGGTCCTAGAAACCACCTCTCCTGACTCCATCAATGTATGGACAAAAAACCTGAAGCTGGAGACTTTGGAAGTGACTTGCCAGAACCGCAGGGCTGATCTGCTCAGCGTCACTAGGAGCTATGTCTTCTCTGTAAGCCAGAGATCTTCCCAGCATCCTCCCTGCCTCTGTCTTCTGCTAGCGTGGCTACTACTTCTGCCTGCAGTGCTGTAGGTGTTTCTCTCACCAGCTTTGGCAAGGAGTGGACCTTTAGTGCCCTGTGGGAGACCCTGTTTCCCAGTACCAGCACCAGCACAAGGCTTTATTCTTCTGTACTTTAATTGGCAAGATTTTGCTCATTTGTTGCAATGTCCTCTTCAGGGTAATCCCTTAAGCTCCTACTTTGTGCAAGGCCCAGGAACAGGTGCTGGAGACAACAGAAGTGCATTCATCCCACTCCGCCCTGTTGGAGCCCTTGGTACACAAGTAAGAAATGTCCTCCCACCGTTTCCTAAAAATATTCACGATCCTTATGGTTCAGTGAGAGAAGAGCTGTAGCTCCAGCAGATGACACTTCAAAGAGGAACAGAGTGGAGTGGAAGTTAGGTCCGTCTTCCATCTTCTGCCTGTGAGTCTGGAGGTATCTGCAGTGAGCACACATCCGCAGGACCTTAGGTGATGACTAGGAATTGAGGACATTTGGTTTGTGACATGGAGGCCAGAAGAAAGCAGGTAGAGAGCCAGGGTGTGACTTCTGTCTGGCCTGGAGTCTGCACTGCAATCTTGTCAATCTTCCAAGAATTCAGAGCCCAGCAGGCAGATGATGTCCTGGCTCCTTGATGGCCCAGCCAGTCTAGGTGGTATCACCTGCCAACAAGTGCCAGAGCTAGGGCTGGAGCCCAGGGGCCTCTCCCTGCACAGGACCCATTTTCCTGCCAGCCACAGCCTTGGGAGTATACTTTGGTATCAGTGCTTTGGAGTACATGGCTTTAGCTCACTGGGGAAAAAGATATTGCTACATACTCTGCTTTAAAATACAGAGCAAGCCCAGGCTGGTAGTTGTCATCTTCAGGAGTGAAAGAAACCACCCATGTTGTCTGTTTCCATGCTAAGGCCTTGGTCAGAGAAATGCTTACATTCCCTGAAAAGTGTTACCTAATCTTGGCAGCCAGAAGCAGGTATCTGCAGTGCCTTCTGTGCACTCTTAAGTTTACGGGGGCTGAAGTCCTGCCAGAGCTGGTGA